TATGCAGATGACACCAACTTATTTCAATCCCACACTGATGTTTACAAACTTTTCTCCAAAACTAATAATAAACATTTTTAAATGGTTTAAATGTAATAAATTAACGTTAAATACTAACAAGACTAAATGGATTCTTTTTCATTCCTTCTCAAAAAAACGTTCTTTACCAGATATTATGCCTTAAATTTATATTGATGAAACTCTAATAAAAAGAGATTCTGTTATAAGATTCCTAGGTGTTTATCTTGATGAGAATATTACTTGGAAAAACCATATTAATCATATAACCACCAAGGTATATTTTGTATAAAGCCCGACCTTACTTAAGCAAAAAAAGCCTTATGCAGCTCTATTACTCATTCATACACAGCTATATAAACTACGCAAATATTGCCTCGGGTAGTACCGAAAAAAGTAAACTACAACGTCTATATCGCCAACAGAAACATGCGATTCGCGTAATTAATTATGTGGATCGCTCTTCACATTCAAAGCCTTACTTTGATGAAATGAAAATACTTAATGTCTACAAACTTAACGTCTTTAATGTTTTATGTTTTATTTATATGTGGAAAAAACAATTTATCCCTACCTGTTTTTAGACCTTTTTACATTAAAACTTACAATTAAGTACTCACTAAGAAATAAAGATTTACTAAATGAACCATTTTGTAGAACAAAATTTAATAAATTTTGTATTAATTATCGAGCACCTTACCTTTGGAATAAAATAGTTCTGCCTAACTTTGATCCTTTTATCCGTTTTTCTGTTTTTAAAAATGAATTAAAAAATTTTATTCTTGCTATGGATGACATTTTAAGTTACTATTAATTTGAAATATAAACTATAAATTTGATTTATGAGATTTATAGTAATATTTATATTAATAGTTTTATTTGCTTTAACTTATAACAGATCTATAAAATTTATTATTATGGATTTTTATAACAGTTTTTTATTTGTGATAATTATTATTACAGAAACGTGATTAATATTATGAGCTTACTATTATATTTTTATTATTACGGCCGTTTTTTGGATTTATGTTTTCAGTTTTTATAGTATGATAAAATTGTAAAGGTTCTGATGATAAGATTAGTTGATCTTCTTTCAGAAGCCTTGTTTTCTTTGTTCTTGTAAAATATAGTATTTATTTTACGGCAAATGTAAACAGAAAAAAAAAAAAGAAAAGATAAATCAAAAATAACACTTATTATTTAGTCTTAAAATTTGCTTTGCTATATTCGCCCATACATAGTGTTTTTACGTATTTTTTACTTACAGCCAGAAGTCAAAGGATGTTGATACCCCACTGACCAAGGCCTTCTCCAGTCACAGTAAGACAAATGCAGAAATCTTTACCAATCAAAAAAATTGGTTTTGGGGTTAAAGTGATTAGACCTTTATGATTATACAGACTTTACATTAGTTTTAGTGAAAATACGTCCCTTGTGCACAAATATTGTTTTTATAATCAACAAAACTCGATTTTGGGATGTGCTGTTGTAGTTTTATTCCTTATATACATATGAGATTGTGATTTTATTATTAACTTCATATATTTGAGATTTTATTATTATATTTATATATTTGAGATTGTGATTTTATTACTAACTGCGCAGAAAGGGAATTTTCATGCATTTTATATCCAAGTTTTGTGTATTTAGTGGAATACTTTCTTTTATTTTATATTTTGAACGAGGCAGACAGCTTCTTTTAATGAAAATGATGACTTCCTCACATGAAAGCATACTGACGAGTTGAGTGTGTTGCAATATTGACGAGTTGAAAAAACCTTTTTTTTATACGAAAAACTTATTTTTAAGTAAAGTAAAAAGGAAAGCGATGCTCCAAAAGTTTTTTTTTGGTTCAAAAAAATACATAAAACGCAATATCTCTTATGCGTATGCGCGAAACTTTACAATGCTGCTGTGTAGCATGAAATGGTAAATTAGACTGGTTCCGAGTAATTTCTGGCTTTTCTGAGGGAAGACTCTAAGGTTAAATGAAATCATCAAGTTACTACTGATTCTAACCAACCGCATCCTCCCCTATGTCATCATAGGAGTAGTGGTTGTCTATGATGGCATACTTGTGTTTTTTTTTTAAAATAGTAATAACTTATAAAAAAAAAAAAAACTGATGAAAACTCCAAAGGTTATTATTGTTCTACATGTAACAAGGAATGTATTAAATCTTTTATTATTGGTCTTCAGGATACTGAATAATGAAGCTTCAAAGTTAAGTATGCTATTATAGGCGCCTTTCCCCTACTTTGTTTTATGTACAAATGTAAAACTAACGCATTTCCTATTTCTATTCATAATTTTTATACCTTAAAAGATAAGTAACAGTAACTAATTTTCTAGGAGTTTGTTTAGATGAAAATCTTACATGGAAAAACCACATTAAAAACTTATCAAGTAAAATTTCAAAAAGTATAGGAATATTGTACAAAGCGAGAAATGTCTTAAATAAACAAACTTTAGTACAATTATATCACTCATTTATTCATTGCCACATAAACTATGCAAACATTGCTTGGGGTAGTGCAAATAAAAACAAACTTAAACCTCTTTATTGTCAGCAGAAGCATGTAGCACGTCTTATATATTTTAAAGACCGTTATACTCATGCCAAGCCTCTTTTATTTGAAATGAAAGTTTTTAATATATACGAGATTAATATTTTTAATATTCTTTGTTTTATGTTTAAATGTAAAACCAATTCATCCCCGATTTCTTTCCATAACTTGTATTCATCAAAAGATAAAAATAAATACATTTTACGTAATAATAATTTTATTAAGCAGCCCATTTTTCAAACAAATTTTTTTAAATTTTGTATTGATTATCGCGGACCATTCTTATGGAACAAAATAGTTTTAAAAAATTTTACTGAGGATTTTATTAATCAAAGTAACTACTTTTCTTTTAAACAAAAGCTTAAAGAACTCATTTTTGCAATCGATGATTTAACAATATACTTCTGATATTTTTTGTGATCTTTATTTTTACCACTTATTTAAACATGAACTTATAAAAAGTATATGTGTATCCTTAACAACTATAATTTACATATATAATAGATAAAACGCATCTTGTATTTATTATGGATTATTTTAAGTTTCTTACTTTTGTTAACTTATTTTTATTTTTTAACCTTGTAATTATCTTTTTAATTTTAACACGAACATTTCTTAGCGGTACTCGACGACAAGACCGTATGGTCTTCTACGAGTCCCCGCGTTCTTTTATTTTCTAATAACGACCATTATATTTATATATAAATTTATTATTATATATTTGTATTTGAAATATTGTAACGAAATGCTTATTTTACATGTAATAAAAGAACGAAAAAAAAAAAAAAAAAAAAAAAAAAAAAAAAAAAAAAAAAGTAAATAAAACTTAAGAAATTATAATTTTATTCAACAATCTTTTCTTTCAAACTAAGTTTGGAAAGTCAAGTATTTCATTTCGACCAGCATTTCTTTGGAACGGAATAGTTATGAAAAACTTTGATTTATCCTTCGACCCTCAATTTAAAAAACTAAATCTATCTTATCTATATTTTTAACTTATTTATTTCAAATGAATACCTAATACATATGTTATATAACATATAATAGTATATCGGATCCTCATCTTATGTTTTTATGAAAATATGTTATTTTTTCAGTTAGTAAAGCTTTCAAAGAAAGTTTTTTTTTCTTCTATTTATCAATTAACTAGACATAACCAAAGAAAAAAAAAATAGAAAATTAAAAAAAGTTCGTTTAGGTACATCCATTTTTTTAAGTACAAATTCAGGCGGTATTTTAGGCTTTAAAAAAAAGCTGCTCATAAGTTTAGCTTGCTAGCTCTTCTTGAAGGTTTTAATTAGAGCTTTTATAAATTTATTGTGGAAAAGTTGCATCATAGTAAATTAAACTCTATTTAATGAAATATTACAAAAATATGTTTAATGGAGTATGTAGTATTTTAAAAGTTTGTTTTAAATTAATTCATCTTTTTTGCTTAATTCTAGATTATAATAATAATAGAAATTTGAAATTTCCAATGGGAAGAAATATACTATAATAATAAATTATAAGTCAAGAAATCAAACAGCATGCTATGCTTCTGCCAGAAAACCATTATTAAAATCAACAGACCGTTTAAAACGAATTAAGTTTTGCCAAGCGATTTAAATTAAAAATGAGTAATTATGAATTAAGAAAAATTTATTTTAGTGATGAATCTCACTACACCATCCTAAATCGTAAAAACAAAGTACTTGTCCGTAGGCACCGTAATCAAAAGTATAATAGTTGCTGTATTGTATCTATACTACGAGGTGGAGGTGGTGCAGTTGGTATTAAGAACTGCATCACATATGATGGCCCAGGTCTACACATGTTACGCTGTGGTTGAATGGATCAACATAGATACATCGACATCTTTGAAAATTATTTAATGCCTAACAAGGATATTTTTTTTTGGTAACGAGCCAGAGTTGATGTTTCAACGAGACAATGCTCCATGCCATAAAGCAAAGTCTGTAACAGAATGGTTTGAGCAAAACAATAACAAGGTATATAAATAAGTAAATAAGTGGCCAGCGAGATCACCTGATCTGTATCCAATTGATGATCCAATGTTTGGACTGCGTTGGACCAAAAACTTTTCGAAAAACCAGTAACTCCAGTTAATTTAAGAGAAAATTTTTAAAAATTAAGAGAAATCTTTAAAAAGTCGTTTAATGACTTGACAGTTGAATTTTGTCGTAAACTTTTCGATTCTATAAGAAGAAGATGTTCATTATGCATACAAAATAGAGGTGGTCACATTACTTATTAAGGTTCGACCTAAAAACAACTTCAAACCCAAGCTTCTTTTTTCTTGTTTTATATATGATTAAAAAACGATGACATTTACTGGAAAAGACATGTCCCCCAAAAAACACGTCTCGTCATTTCAATGAAAAAAACGTGTCTCCCCAAAAAAAAGACAATAAG